GGGGGGGGGGGGGGAATAGTTTTCTGTTCGAACAAAGAGGAAGATAACCCGCCCACTTATCATAAATTTTTCTACAGTGCTGACACTTTTTACCTCTTTCCTTAATAACGGAATGACATTTACAAGTAAAAGAAACCAAAAATCAAAAACCGATCTGCAGTTGCGGAGGGCGGGGGTGTTATAAGAGGACGAAATTGTAAAATGTGGAGTTAGCTGCGTCATTTATTTTCCACCATTTGAAATAAAAAAAATGTTTTTGGTCCAGGGGTGTGCGATAGACTTACCTCTACGTGGTGCACCCTGGGCAACGTATACTCATACGGCAAAAAAGTCTATTAACCGGCATTTGACTTCTCTATGTCATATTCGAAGTCTATAAACCGGCAGTTGACTTCAAACTATCGGCAAAAAAATTCTATTAACCGGCAGTTGACTTCTGACTTCAACGGCAAAGTCTATTAACTGGTAGTTGACTTCTCCGCATACGGCAAAAAAGTCTATTAACCGGCAGTTTTCTTCTCACTTCAAACTACCATGACCCCCCTATATGTCCTACATTCTCATACGGCAAAAAAGTCTATTAACCGGCATTTGACATGACTTCAAACTACAATCACCCCACTGTATGTCAAATTCGACTACTTGACTTCAAACTACCATCATCCCACTCTATGCCATATTCGAATTTCAAACTATCATGATCCCACTGTATGTCATAACCGACCACTTCCACAATACTCATCTTACCTTTTTTCTACCTTTGTGTCTGCCTGTCTCTTTTACTTCTGTGAACCACTCTCCTGTTCCCCTTATCGACTTTTCTCATTTTGATGTTCTTCCCCTCTGCTTTTGGTCCATTAGTATATCACAAGGCTATAATAAAAGGTGACTTTGTGCCGGCCGATTGGAGCATTCTCCATTTTTCTTATATACTCAGAAAACTGGGGGTATCAGACTTGCAGATCGAAAAATTGCCAATGGATGCCGAACTTGTGATCAACGAAAAGTGCGCTGACCTCTACAGAAATTGGAGAATGATTCGAATTATATATGCAAGCAAGTACATTTCCAACTAACTTTTTTAATATATCAGGGGGGGGGGGGACATCGATTTTTAAATCAATCTTAGTCTTGCACATTGTATAGTAATGGCAATTGGGATTAACGTAATGTAATAATCAAATTAGGACATACGACAGGATTAAAGAAAGAGAAAAGCGCTCTCAAAGCTCATGTTAGTTCTTATAATAAGTTAATTCAAAGAAAGACACTATTTAAGTCATTTTTCTTAATTTACATTATTGCATCAATATGAAGCACCACTATCATTCATACAATCAATTTAATATAATATTCAAATGATAATAAAGTAATAGCTTCATCTACTGATTAGGAAAAAGATAAATGAAACAAGAAGTACATATTTGACATTCACTCTACACGTTCCTGAGTTTCATAAGGACATTACATAATAAACTACGATATGGTAAACTTTATAGCAAGTTACTCAGAAACATGTGCAAATTTTATTGCAACTCCTGCTTTTCTAAGTACATGAATAATAACTCGTTGGTGGGAGCTGAATCAATTTCAAAAGGTCTAAATGGTACCAAGAAGATTTTCTGTTACAAATTGATTCAGCAGTAGTGGAAGATACATTATTTCAGATGGGAATTAGCAGATAATTATCGCCAAGTCGTTTAATAGGAGCCGTAATGATTAAATTCACTAAATCATTTAATCGAGCCGACGAGGTATGCTCTTTAACCTCGTAAATAAAATTTAAATTCGTCTCACAGTTGCTGTGAAGTGAAGAAATGTATTTTAAGATTGTTTTTAGTGTATTTTATTCTGATTACGTAATACCCGTACGAACAACCACAGAGTATAAATATTGAAAACAAATAGTTATTTTAAATAACCAAGTCTACCGAAGGCATTATCATTTTAAAAGTATGTTTAATTTTACATTGACTGGCCAAATAGAAAATGGGGTTGTCCTCTTCCCTAACATGCTTTAATTTTTAACTGATTCATTAATATTGATTGGACAGAGTAACTGATCAGAGTTGTGCCCGGTAAAATATTTTTGACATTTTGTTTGTATAAGATTATGTGATTGTCAACATCAATTAAAAAACTACTAACGAAATTTAAATAGTAACGTATTGAAGTTATGACAATCCAGAGCTGCCTCTCACGCCATATTTACCAGTCTTGTTGACTACTAAAATACTTTCAATGTACTGACTGCACTCATACAGATAGCTACGTAAATTCGTAGACAATTTTGATATTCGACTCTTTTCGAAGAAATTCTGCATAAGTTCAAACATCATCAAATTTGTAAAAGAATCGATGAATAGATATACCGCAGGTAGACCTTTTATTTCCTGAGCACTTATCATATGTATTAAATCTGTTTAAATGGCTCAATTTATCAAGCAAAAGCCTAGTCGTGCCTATATGAACTATCCGATCAGCGTTTGACGGGGATTTTCATAAACCAGTGTGTTATTATTTTACTTTTAGTCATATATTTATTTGGGTGGTTGTTTTGTAAAAATTATGTGATCGATCTATACTGAAGTATGCTAATTATTATGCTAATTTGACTTCCTTTTCAACACATTTCCCTTTAATTGAAATTAATTTCACAATAGTTTATAAGTTTTAGAAATGCTTTTGATATACTTTCTCCTCTTCGCTGGTGCTTTCTGCCAGATCCCTCCACCATGGCCACCAAAGGTTGGGACATATGATCAAAAGATTTCGCATTTTGATTTTGTATTCCATCCTCTAACTTTTAAGCAGCGCTTTGTTTACGAAGGTAAGTTATTGTTATTCTCCACCAATTTTCTCAGACAAACATTATAAACCGGGAGGACCTGTTTTCTTCTACTGTGGAAATGAGGGGGATATTATGTCTTTTTGGAATAACACTGGCTTTATGTTTGACATCGCACCAATGTTCAACGCCTTAATTGTATTTGTTGAACACGTAATTCTGCTGTGATTTATATCTGGTTTTGCTTTTCAAAAATATAGCGCTATTATGGAGTGTCTTTACCATTCGGTGAGCACAGCTTTGTTCAGCCGCAAATTGGATTTCTTTCAGTCGAGGAGGCTCTTGCAGACTACGCTGAAATAATTCCGGTTTTAAAGACCGAATTTAATGCCTCTTCATCTCCTGTAATTGCTTTTGGTGGCAGGTATGGTGGTGATACTAATTAACCACTTCAGTTATGGTGGTATGCTCGCGGCTTATATGCGTCTACGATATCCGCATATTGTCGAGGGAGCTATAGCAGCCAGTTCGCCATTTAAATGGGTAACAGGAGAAGAGGGCTTACATCCATTCTTTGAATCAATCAAGGAGGTTTGATTTTATAAGCTCAACTTGATTGGAGTTGTCTTAATTAGGTCTACTTTGCTGCAAATGAGTCCTGCATTCCCGTCATCCAAGCCGCGTACTCCGAAATTCTGACAAGGAGCCAACAAGGATCGAGTGGTAATTTGCATAATTTTTTTATTAGTCAAGTAAACAATAAGCTTAAAATTTATTAATTTGAATGATTACCGGTGTCAAGACACTTGTTATCAAGTTTCAAACCGGCAGAAAAAATGAATTTCTTTTTAACAGCTTCATTAAGTTAGGTAATTGTTGTTCTAATTTTTATACTATCTCATAAGTTTCCAATAACTCATGTTGACACTTTTAGCTCTAATTAAAACCTTAATGAAAGTGATAAATTTGATCCATGGATTACTTGCGAAGAGCTTGCCTAACGTACTTCCTTGAGTAAAACCTGCTGTCTAGCGAAGTGGACCTAGTCTCTGGATTGCTTTGGACAGTCCCCCGAGCCCTCTTTTACTCTAAAAATGCATTCGATTTCTCATTTATTAAAAGCAACTTGTTTAAGATAAGTCAATTAAGGTGCCAATTAAGTCTTTGGTTTGACTGACCTCTCAACCTTCAACCAACTCGAGCAAAATAGCGGAATGTAAGTTGCCAATTGTGCACTAATTTTCACGGAGAAGCAAATCAAAACCGATATATTTAGGATCAAGGGCGAGGAGATTTTTGTTTCTCTAGATTTGGGTAACAAATAGTTACTTTTAGAGTTGGCTTCATTTCCACAAGATCCTTCGAAGAGACTCGCATTGGATTTAATATTAACATTGCGGATGACACTCTGATCCGCAATAAAGTAACTCCAACCGTAGATAATAGAAAGTCTTGGAGTATGTTAAATCAATGCCATTCCATTCTACTATAACCTGATTAGCTTTATTCAAAAAGTGGCCAAGACAACGACTCCACAATTTTGCACAATTTTAGCAAACAAGTAAATTTTATAATTGACCAACAATAAAGAGCTTATACACGATACTTCTTCTCGGCTCTATAAACCACTCTCATTCACTTTAAGGCCTAAATAACATAACCAAGGAACTGCAGCTGTGCACTCCATTGGAGAGCATGACTGACCTTGACTGGATGCTGCGCTGGTCTCGCAATGCTTTTGTACTTATGAGCATGATGGACTATCCCTATGCTAGTTCCTTCATGTCCAATTTGCCTGCCAATCCGGTGAATGTCTCCTGTGCCAAGGCCATTGAATTTGGAATCCAAAACCCTGTAGCTGGTCTACGGGAAGCTGTGGGTGTGCTATATGAGCGGACGTCGGGTAAGTTTTGTGATTAATTAGCTTGAAAGTATAAATAAAATCTGCTAGTCATGGCTATTACGTGGTCTCTTGTTAATGTGTACTTTAACAATTGAAACGAATTTCGCTAAAACTAAATGCCCAAAGTATGTTTTGATAAATGTGTAATTGAATTAGGAGAAATGTGAATATAACGGAGGGTCTTGTTTAGAAAATGCCAAAAGTTGGTAATAATTGCAATTGCAGGAATGTTTGCTACGGAAGGACATGCAAGATGTAGTGCTGTGTTGTAGCAGCAAGCGTTCGATGAAGAATGAGATCAATAAATCGGATAGTGGTTGGGACTGGAGGATGTGGGAAATCAGTCATACTACGAATGACATAAGTTAAAACGCCTTGAGTCAATCTATAAACAACATACAACGCATGCACTTGCCTGATTCATGCCACTCTGAGTGTGCCTTTATGAATACTGTTTATGTGTAGTTGATCCAGACTCTGACCAATGTGTGTTTATACACACACACACACGAATGTAACTTGTAACTTGGTCATTCTCCGTAAAATTATATACCACTCGCCCATTTTTTTCGCATCACACTAGAATCGTGTTTCGATTTCAAGAAGCAGTATATCGATTGCGCGGACATTACTGGCTGCGGATTGGGCAATGAGGCTACCGCTTGGGATTTTCAGGTGAGGTGATTTATGCGTGCGCCATTTTAATTTTTGAATACACAGTACTAGTTGGACCACGCCTCAATTATTATTATTATTATTATATATAAAATAGAAATAGTTTATCTCAATTTTTTTCCGGGGTAGGATTATTGGCTTGTCGGTGGGTTTTAACGGTTCTACGTAAACCGTAGAATATTGTCACAAGTACATCATCATTTAATAATATTGTTTAAATGATATTCTAGTAATGCTAGTAATATACTTTATGAATGTATTTTGAAGTGCGCACTGAAAAGTAATTTTAACAAATCCCATATCCTTTTTGGAAAGCGTCTTCGAAGACCCGCGTTGGCTATCCACAGAAAGACATTTTTACCATTTCCGCTGACTGGCATCTGCACTTGACTAATCAAGAAATCCTTGTGTCACTATTTCCGAAGATAACAATAGCTCGAGTCATTCTTATGATAGTTCAAAGTTCGATAATGCGACCCTTGAAGCTGATGAAAGTCCTGGGTCAAAGGCTATTTGAATTCAACTTCCACGTAGAAAACTGTGCACATGCCTTCAAATTCATCGCACTTAGAGTAACTGGTGTAAGTATACTCGTTTTCAGTGCCTTCATGTATAATTTTAGGCCTGTACTGAAATCCATCTCTATGATCCCTCGAATGCTACCTCAAATGACCTGTTTCCATCGCTGCCAAAGACGCTTGAAGATGTTAATGCTCACTGTTTTGAAAAATTCGGTGTTAAATTAAGCGAGAGGCAACTACTTACGCAGTTTGGACCGTTGTCGAGTGAGTTCTAAGAAGATACTGGAGTCACTTGCTTCTTTTGTGTACATCTGAGCAAAAGGTTTTATCGAAAGTACGAGGGAAGAGTAGTAGTAATATCTATTTATTTCAAATGGCAGGCGTTTTGATAGTCATCATTAGCCCTTTAGTTGACTTCGGGCTTCAAAGAGAGGAGGAGGAACATTAAAGTGAGAAAAATTCGACAGGGGGAAAGAAGAGCGATTCACGGATGTAACAGACAGACAGACAGACATAAAGGCAGAGAAAAGGCTAGATGAGTACTGTGAAAGGGGTCGAATATGACATACAGTGGGGTTATGGAAGTTTGAAGTCAGAAGTCAATTGCCGATCAATAGACTTTTTGCCGTATGAATATACGTTGCCCAGGGTGCACCACGTGGAGGTAAGTCTATCGCACACCCCTCAGGGTAGTAGTAATGAAAACACGAAATCTGACCAGTTTCAGCAGTAATTAAGAGATTTTTGTCCGCAAAATTTACGCCTTTAGGTTTGTGATAGTGTTTCATTAGTTTCAAGAGGAGTAAATATTTATTTTCAGGGTCGAGTGTCCAGAATGGGTGCTCCCAAATTGATCAAATTTAATCAATCGAGTGATTACGTCATTCCAATCTTATTAGTTCCGAGCTATTGGTTAATAATAATAAACACTTGCTTTTTTATTACAATATACCCGTCTTCTAATGAAGAAAGATGCGAATCATAATGTTCACAACGGTTGTGCAAAGTTTAAGGCCGAGAAAAGTTGAGAGGATTTGAAATTGCACGAGGGGGGGGGGGGGGGGGGGGGGGGGGGACGTGGGGCGGTGCAATTATCAACACTCAACGAGTTAAAAAACTCATTTGCAATTAAGAACGTTAAGCTTGAATCATTAGGCTAACTTGACTCTATTTTGTTGGCTATCCAATCACGGCTCCCAATTTAATGTGTATCCTATAGGTCAACTTGGAGTATAAGCTTTTAGATCTTTGCGTCTGTTTATATTTTAGTTTGGAAAATGACAAGCAACATCGCCTTCAGTAACGGAAACCTTGACCCTTGGATGAAGGGTGGTGTAAGGATGGCCAAAAATTGAATATTCTATTCAATTTTGTTGATTCAGAACATCTCTCAATATTGTTGCATTTTAGGTCCTCAAAGACGTTTCAAAAAGCGTGATTGCACTGCAGATAAGCGGTGGAGCCCATCACTTGGATTTGAGGTGAATTTTATTGACAAGTTCATAAAAAATATAGCAAAAATAGCCCCATGTCTACATTTTAGCCCTGTTTAAACCATAACCAGGGTAGTTTATTAAAAACTCGTTAATCTTGCGCCTATTCCAGTCAGTATGGTAGATTTAAATGCTCGCTAATGGTTAATTTCTGTTTCCAGAGGCGCCAATCCGGCCGATCCACCGTCAGTGAAGATAGCCCGTCAAGCTGAAGTGGAGGCTATCAGTTCATGGTTAGCGGCCTATGAAGCAAATCGTTATGACCATCTTTCTACTTAATTTTAAAAAGTAGAGATAGCCTTCACTTTGACAATCTTTATTGGCAATCTTTATCACATAAAATTGTGCAGCGTTAATTTTCTGATCTGTATCTTAATATAACTGTTGATTAAAAATGAATTTAGCATATATTGCCTGAATAGTTATTCTTCATTTACGTTTTGATTTGAGGCGATCAAACTGTTAAATTGAAATCTTGGATTGGATAGAGGGAATTGAATGAATGAATGAATTAATGTGCTAGTACAAAACAAAACGCAGTTATCGATTAATAAATTATATTGCTATAGCCAGTTGGTAGGGTTATAACGATATGAAGGTCGTAGCACCCTTTTGATTTAATCCTTTAACGCCGAACTATTTTTTTAAAAATGTACCCAACCACACTCGCGCACGTCTCACGGCAGACTGATGCCACCGACGTGATGAGTTTTGGTGGTTTATCAGGCGAAGGCTATTGACCCGTATTGAACATGTTTCAAATGGCAATAGTGCCATCGGTTACGAGTGTGGTACCAATAGAGGTTATTCTGAAAGAGGACCATACGGTCCTAAGGGTATTAAAGGATCGATTCTGAAAAAATGGAGACATTTTAATGAAGGTGGGAGCTTAGATAACTTGCTTATTGGAAATACACACTGACTAACTATTGGTCTACCGGTTTGGCGTGATCCTCACGACACGCCAGGATGGCAAGGGAGGAAGAAGGCAGCATCGAACAGAGTCTATTGAGAAAATCAGAAGTGATTAGGAATAAAGTGGGGAATTGGTGGCGATTAGCACTTAGGCGTAGTGTCTAGGCTGGGAGTGGAACTATGCGTTTTGAGGGGTGATAAACAACCATAGGAGTGTTGTATAAGATAAAGTGGGGTGGGGGGGGGGGGGGGAGGTATATTGGCGGTTTCCAGCTTTAGCCACGATTTACTGAATTTCAAGCCACTTCCTGTGCACGATAGAGAGAATGAAGGAGAGAGCTATTCTTGATAATAACTCGTTTGTATTTAACTAACTCACACAATTTAACATTTGAACCGAAAAGAAACTTTTATGTTAACGTTCACAGATTATGCATGAAGAGAAAAGAATTCAGTAATCTTTTTAAAAAACTGTCAGTCTCTAATTTCCGTATTCATTAATATCCACCTCAAATTTTCACCTCAAAATGGCTCACTTGGTATTAAATTCCCGAACCATATTTTATTTTTTTTGTGGTCAATGTCTTGTAGCCATAATTGCAATAACTCAAGGAACCATGTTAGTTCTCCTACACAAGTAATGTCCTTATGTATCTCGAACCATAACTTGTGGTCATAACAATGAGTTATTGTCAAAAGTGAATCCTCGTGTTTTATTTTCGTTATTTCTTCTATTGGTGTAGTTCTTTTAAAGAGAAAATAAAATTCTCATTGTTTTGTCCATAGCACTGAAAAAATCCATTCTTTTTCACATACCCTGAGTTATATGTTGGTGTTGAGGCCGGTTAAACACAATTATTACTAAACAAAGTTACCAGATTGAACAAACTTACGCGGCTTGTTGCACAATCGAGTTGCTTCGAGTATGTATGAAAATTCACGAGCCGTATATGTGTTTGTGTGCGTGCGTGTGTGCATGCGTGTGGATATAATCTGCAAAATATAATTTTTTTGTTACAAGGCAATGACAGAAAAAGTGGGAGGGGTGGGGGGGGGGGGGGGGGGGGGGNNGGGACAAATATCAGGAGGCGAGTGAGGAAACATGTTGCCCGATTGCGTGACATCTTGTATTTTCCGACATTGGTTGTAGTCTCCTGCACTCAAACCCACTCAATATCCCCCCCTCCCCTCCGGGCTCTTCTAGTACCCACACTTATTCTTACTCTTGTCATGAAGCAATGACAAAGCATTTCTTCCTCGCTATTTCTGAGGTTTACTTTTTCGCATGTGAAGCATATCATTCTTCGCTCCTTTTTTTGAATGCAAATGAACATAAACAAGCGTTGTTTAAAAGCATGAGCGATTGCGGAATAGGTGCATGTACAATGTCAATTTTATGACTTCAAATTATCTAATTTGAAAAGAAAAAAACGTTAAAAAGGAGGACAATTGAATGAATGAATTTCTAATTAGTCTAACACAGTCCAAAAACGGGTCTTTTCTTCCACTTTGCACACATTTTTGCTATTTTCTATATGCCCTAATGCTATGAAGCTTTAGGATTCCTTAGTTAATCAGTGTTTGCACTGCTCAGAGGTAGTTGACCATTTGATTAATCTGATTTAAAATAGCCTTTGTCCCGTCTACCAAGACAGGTTACGAAGGGTCAAAATGTCAACTTTTCAGTTAATATGACTTTAATTGCCGAATTAATTTCTATCAAACAGTTTGATAATGAAGAGCTGTAACTAACTACAGCATAATTAATTCCACCATGAGAAAGAATAAGTGCTGTTTTTTTCTACTCTTCATCCAAAGAAGATGAAGTCTTTTAACATTTACTTCCAGTAGCTAATCATGAAAAAGATTTGTTTAAATAGAACAAATGGTAAAATGGGGGGGGGGGGATTTTGTTCTAGAAACGAAATTTAAATGTATTAGTAATGCCAATAAATCAGCGGGATTCCATTTTTTACGCAAACGAAATTGCCCCCCCCCCGCCTCCAATTTATTAGTTTCTGAAAAGCATTTCAACTAATATGACCACCTTCTCGATGTCTCTGCTGTGAAAAAAATAAGCCTATTGTTATTCACCAAGTGGGCAATTTTTCGTTATTTAAGAAAAAGGGCCTGTTTTCTACCTATTTCTTCTAACATTTAAAAAGCCCCTATTTAAACAATTATAGCTCCTGGGAATAAGAAATTGATTAATAAAATAAGCGTGCTAAATCTCAAACATATTTGTCGACATATTTATTTATTTATTTCAAATGGCAGGCGTTTTGATAGCTATCATTTGCCATTTAGCTGACTTCGGGCTTCACGGGGGGAAGGTTTATCAGAGTAGCAGAAAGTCGAGGGGTGGGGAAGAGAAGAGCGATTCACAGATGTAAAAGAGGCAAACAGACACAAAGGTAGAGAAAAAGGTAAGATGAGTACTGTGGAAGGGGTTGAATATGACATACAGTGGGGTGATGGTAGTTTTAAGTCAGAAGTCAACTGCCGGTTTATAGACTTTTTTGCCGTATGAGTATACGTTGCCCAGGGCGCACCACGTGGAGGTAAGTCTATCGCACACCCCAAATATTTGTCGACATAAAAATTACGAATCGTTGCAAAGATTTTTATTCCATTCATATTGGTATGAACAAAGCTACTAATAGTCTATGGGAAGGACGAATGATCAAATCTGCTTGTGTTAACTCGAAAATTTAGAAATATTTCTCGTTTTTTTTGTGTGACTAAACGGCAGTCTCATTTAATATCAAAATTTTCGTAAAAACTATTTGTTTACCGGACGGAATTAAAAACTGCCCTTTTGCGCTTTTATTGAAGGCAAAGGCTTGATCTTCCTACCCCTGAATTTTACCCTAAAGCCAACAAAATTATTCCTAAATTTAGATTATTAATAATTTTGAGTAAGGAATAAAGAAGTGATTGAAGAGTCATTATAGTTCATTTTGGGGGAAATTTAGTGAACTCCACTATGCTTCTACCATATTTTTAGTGTCCTGCTATCTTTATCCGAAATAAGTAAAGACGGAAATGGCACAAAAATCCAACTTTTCAAACCTCGTAACTTTGGTCCTAAAATACTTAGGGAGTAACGCTATAATGATTTATTTATTTATTTATTTCAGATGGCGGGCGTTTCGATAGTAATCATTAGCCCTATAGCTAACTTCTGACTTCCCTGAGGCGAGGAACATCAAAGTGAGAAAAAGTCGAAAGTGGGAACAGAAGAGTTATTCACAGATGTAAAAGAGGCCGGCGGAGACAATGGTATGGAAGAGGTAAGATGAGCACTGTGAAATTAGTGAATTATGACATACAGTGAGGTGATGGTTGTTGGAAGTCAGAAGTCAACTGCCTGTTTTTATGAGTATACGTTGCCCAGGGTGCACCACGTGGAGGTAAATCTATCGCATTCCTCACGCTCTAATGATAAAGGGCCCTAATTGCGATTGGATTGAAAAGAAAATTTTACTTTAATTTTAAATTTTCCATCTTCTTTAAATATATTAATATTTTTTAAATACTTATGATTTTAAAATATACTTTTCAAATCCATTTGGCTCTGTTAAGATGATACCTAAGAAAAGTATATTTTGTTTAAATAGACTAAATTACGTATGTGCTATATCTGACCGATTACTGCTTTGATTTTCCCCGAACTGAATTTAAAAACTTAATTCAGTTATTAGAAGAAATATATTGCAGATGGCTTAATGAACTTCTTTTTGTAGCTTCAGCATTGTCGACATGAACTTGTAAAGTATTTAAAAGAGAGAATTTGGCAGTCAGAACACATAATTATTTTAGTCAAATAATTGAACGCTTCACTTTAAATGTTTCAGAAAATTGTATAAAAATATACCACACAATGTGCAAAATCTTATATATTTCAATGCCAATATAACAATCCTTTATTATTGTTTTTAGTATAGGTAAAATACAAAGAATAAGTATATATGCAGTTTTCAGGCTTTAAGATTACTAGACACTTTCGATCAATCTGAAAACTGTCAGAAATTCATGAGTTAAAATTCAGTTTAAGGTGTAGAAATTCGACTTAAGCTGAAAAATTTAAACATTAGATGTGCGCATCCATGAATCTCAATTTGTATCCTTAAAGGCCTCAATTAATTCTCTTTAAATTTGGGTAATCTGTAATCTGGCCAGGTTATACAACTTCAAATAAGACACTCATTGTAGGCGGAGAAATTGAAATTTGAGGGTTTGAATGTTGACGGTATAGGCTGATGTAATGGCCTAACCTTCCTTCTCCTAGATAAGCAATACAAGTGGCATGAGCAACCATGGAATTGGAATAACTGCAACACAAACTTTAACTATTAAAGACA